TATATTTATGAAAATTCCAATTTATTACGTTTCTTCCCGTAAAATAGGAAGAAAAACGATTTCACAATAATGCTTATGTATGCTGGAAGCCTGATGAACAAAGGGGCGGGGCCAAGTAAAAATTGTTGTCAATTAGAATTTTCACCGAACCGATATGACTTAAACTGAAGTGTTCTTTCAGTCCTACGTGAGGTACACTTTTAATATTAGTGCAATCCTCCCTTGGATAATTTGTGAAACCTTCTCTATATATTCATAAAAAGACAGTTATAGTTTCATACCAGTGGGAGCAAGACGATGAGGGGAGAGACGGCACTTTAATAGCATGAGAGCCAATGGTGACAGCTGTATTTTGACTCCATTGACAATCCGAAGTACGAATTCTTATCCAAAATACTGGGGAGCCAGTGGTAGGAGTCCCATTTCAGGAGGTTAGAGCTTCGACAGTGAAATTCTTACCACAAGTACTGAGGACTATCTGGCAGCACCCTGGGTTCACGATTTTTAAGGTTTCATAGATGAAATTTTGTCCCCAAAGTACAGTGGAGATGAAGCAGAATGAATGATGACCTCCTGGGTAAGTTCTTCGCGATCCTCAACTTAGGGATCATAATGTCTTAAGTTACATCCACCACTTGACCACACCATTCAAAAGATAACGTTTCAATTTATCTTTATGTTCCTTAAGATTTAATTAAACGTGTCGCTAATTAAGTTAATTGCTTATTGGTAGATGCAGAAAATCACATGACCGCACTCATTGTTGACTTGCAGGAATACAGCGAGTCATAAAAGGATGAGGTACAGTCTCGTTCAAGATTCTTCGAACATTGCTGGAGACAGCTGGCAACTCAAGGCCGTTTGTTTACTATAGTATGTAAAAATTATGAATAAATGTAAAAGTGATCGGTGATTGGTTACGTAGTTCCCCTTTGCTTAATTATGGTTGGGCTTTGTTGTTTCGTATTATATTATACTACGTACTATAGTAAACAAACGGCCTTGAGTTGCCAGCTGTCTCCAGCAGTGTTCGAAGGATCTTGAACGAGACTGTACAAGTATCATTTAATGAAGTAACCAAACCTATTAAGCAGCACCATTGACCTAACGAATGCATTATCGAAAGGACAAATTATTGGTAGATTGACTTCCGGAGGATTTCACGACAAGGATGAACAATTAGTTGAATTGCGTACTTTGTATGAACGACTATAAAGCTGACAGTACAGAAGCTGGACACTAGTCTGGTATAGAGCAATAGTTGTTCAGTACAGTCCAGACTTATTCGCAGTTTCACTCCACGGATCTAGTCACAGAAACACACCAAGCTGCTGAACACCTCTCACAAATACATCACACTGGAGCTGGAAGCTTGGTGTGCGTTGTATAGGGAGAGTGACTGTCTAATAGGAAGCGCCGGGTATAAGGTGAATGGCCCAAAACGCGCGTGTCCCTATTACACCCACCCCAGATCCATCACGATTAGCCGATATATGTTAATGAGTGGCGGGTATAACAATAATGAGGTCGTTTGGTATAAAAGTATTGCTGTCGCCCCTTTGTTCCTTCCACTCGGGCCCTTCATCTTCAAGGCCTTTAGTTTTTAGAGCATAACCTCCTGTTGCTTCTTAATGTGGCCACCCCCCTCCCTCCCTCCCACCAGCTCTCATTCTTTCTTCAACAACACAAAGGAAAGAAGACTTTTTTACAATTCATTAAATTATTAAGCCTTATTGTGCTGATGTTCTATTATATCTTGTAGTTTATTTGTTTTGTGTCATGTATTTTTTGTCACTGTTACATAGTGATTTTTTGTTTCTGATTAATTATGTGTATTTCATTTGTTATAGTGGAGTTTTTTAATGTTATCTATTTCTATTTTGTCATTCGCTCTACTTCAGTTGGCTCTAAATATAATATCGTAATTTCACTCCTTTTTTGTTGTTCTTCCAATATCATCGTTTTGATTTTGTCATCGTGCAATATATCTATCATCTCTGTTGATAATGATCGTACGTGGCTGGTTGTACTTCCCCGTACGTGTGGTGGTCCCTGATTTATCTACGCTGATGTCGCTCCAGTGACCTATTTTGTAATTTTTCAGCTGATTTATCCCAGTCTTGCCTACATCGCCGTGTTTATTGTCGTCCTCAGTTAAAAAAAAAAGATGTGATGTGTAATGTTCTAACATATATTTGTGTTGTATTCACTACTTCCGCTTTCTCTAAAATGTTTTCGCATCGTTGACCTTACAATAGTATTACTGCGTTTCAGCAGCTAAGGTCTTTAAGAGTGTAACAAGGTTAGAAATTACAGGAGTCCAAGGTGCTTCCCCACTTGGTGTCATCCCGTATGGTCCCCGAGATATGCAAGAGATTGTCACTTGATTGAAAACGCCCAAAGGAGGAGGGTGTGCAATTGATTAGTTTATACTCTAGGCGGGCAAGGGGTCTTTTTTACGGGCATTGGCCCACCCAGTCACAGGTCATTTTATGACCCACATCAAGGCCTGGTGGGCGAAAATAAAAAAAAAAATAATAATTTATATTAATAATAATAAAATTTATAAAACTTAGTGTAAATAATAATAATAATACAATAAATACAAAAATATCAAGAGTGAGAAATGATATATGTATATTGTGCTGTTTAAGTAAGAGAAACAATTGAGACCCTGCAATTGTGTGTAAATGAGACAAGAAGTCAGATCAGCAACCTGGGACTTGGTCACAATTTTTTGGGTGCCCTATGGCAGCAGGGTCTACCATTAGACAACACATTATGCTTCCAATATCTTCCCAGGCGATAGGACCTCCCTGTTTGATAGCTCCTACTACCTATACTACCTCCGAGGGGTCATAGCTTAGGTTAAAGAAGCCACAAGTTCAGAAAACTGTAAGTTGTGAACTTTTGTAATAAGTTGCCAGTGTTGTGACGGCACCGAGTGTGAGCTCATTCAAGACCAGACTTGACCAAGAGTTTACTAACAGACGGTGTAATAACAAGTAAAGTAAATAGTTGTACATAAACTGGTAAACTAACGTACTGTATAATAACAGGTAAACAGTAATAGGTTTATCTCTAACGAACAACGAAATTCAACAAAACGGATCAGACGCTGTTTATACTGTACAATAACAGATATAAAAGTCGCGATTAAAAGATGAAAAAAACTATTGGTATATATCGTCCTTAAACATATATTAATATGCTGTACCCTAGCAGGCAACATTTTACTACATGTCAAGTTACCCTGAACCAATCCTGTAACTCAACATCATTACCGCTGTTAATCCGTAAATTGCTCTCTCAGATCACCTGGAGGTTAAGCACCCCAGGTGATTTAACACCCTAACGCTATCTGGAGGGGTTAGGTTAGCGCTTGATGTAATTTGGTTACCGTTAGGGTGTTTAATCATCAGGGCAACATATCCCCCCCCCCCTCTCCCCTTTAGCATGACTTGCCGCACTTCAAAACCAAAGTCTACACACCAAAGAAGCCACATGTATTTAATGTTGCGATTTATCGAAGTGTCTTCCGTGTTTTAATCTTTCTTGGTCTACTTTTTCAAGGCGATCGGACGTTTGAATGAAGTGTTTGAACGAAAATTAATTATTACCTTTTTTTTCGTTCAAATAAAAGTGAATTCATCAATTAACTCCTGGTGATGGGCAAGGCGACGCACCTTTGAAACCTAAACGTAAGACAAGATATATGACTGGGATTTAACCTTAGATGCCTTACTAAGCAACCTCTTATTTTCGTCAACATTACAGAAAACAAACACTTTATTTGTATAACCTAGGGATTAGGCACCCCAGCTTATTTCACCTGATGATTAAACACTAACGCTACTTGGAGGGGTGAGGTTAGGTTAGCTTCATGGTGTCTAATCATCAGATGATTCCTTCGTCTAATTTATAACACAACACACGGCTTCGCAATTGTCAAAGCAGTTCAAAACAACAGGATTTAACAGACCTATTTAATTAATGTTTACTAATGTTTCATCATACCTAACCTAACTGAATCATTTGCTATGTACCGCCCCAAAATTTCTATAATTTTGTGGGCGGGCATTTTAATCGCTCTTCATAATAGTCCACCACAAGTTTTTTTTTTGTTTACTGTTTACGAGCTGGTTTAAAGTATTTACGAGTTTCCCACCCCCCTTTAGCCAAAAGCCAAATTATTCCTGTTTTTTACATGAGTCAATAGTTCGCTGCAGGTATATCGCATCACTGCAAAACTGCACTAATTTTAATCTCCCACGCGTCATCAGTCGGGATATTCGCGAGAGCACCAAGCATCTTCCCTCCTGGCAGGTTCCACTTTCCTGTGAAATTTGCAGTGCTATGTTCGCCTCTCATTTTGTTAAGAGTGGAAGATGTTGTTTAGATGTAAGGGGGTTTAAGTGTCAGAGAGAGAGAAAGGGAGAGAAAGAGAGAAAGAAAGACTAATGATACAGAGGCACTGAGAAAATAGGAGACAAACACAGTGGGTATTTAGGAGAGACAGCAACCGTGAACGAGAAACAGGCAAAAGAAGCGAGTAATTGAGAGATGGACAACATGTAGGAAAATGAAACTGTAACAGTGTAGCCTGAACTTGCCTAGCTTATACTACAGACGGGCAAGGGGCGACTTAATTGAGATGCATAAGCATAAGCAAGTGAAAGTTGTGAACTCTTGGAACAATCTACCAGAAAGTGTTGTGACGGCACAGAGTGTGAGCTGTTTCAAGACCAGACTTGACCAACACTGGAGCAGGTTCAGGTACATTCAGGAGCCGGTGCATGCCCAGTACTTGCCAACATTGCGTAACAGAGACGTGACCGATCGCCCAAGCGGCTAACGAGCCGATCAGTGGTGAAGAGGATAAAAGTAAGTAAATGAGTGAGGAAGAGACAGATTGTGTGTGGGGGGAAGTGTTATGTATGAGGGGAGAAGAGAAAAGGTGTGTGTGTGTGTTCTAAACAGAAGAACAAAAAAGAACTGACCTTTTTTGCCCCTGGGTCTGGCGGGGTTGGGGGATGGTGACCCATCACTCTTGTTGTCACCACGAGCCTCATGGGTGTTACTCTTCTTCTTCTTGCTGCCCTTGGAGGAGAGGGATCCTGTAGGAGACTGTAGCACCGAGGACTTGTGTAGGGAGGTCCTGATGGGCGGTCCACCCACCAAGGTGGTTGAAAGGTTGGTGGTCACGCCCGAGGTGCCAGCGCCCGCAAGTAAAGGGGTAGGCGGCGTGGCTCGAAACTCATGGGCGTGATGTTCAAAGCCGGGTTGCCTGACGTATCCTGGTTCAGATGATGTGCTGGACGCCCCCGGGGAACTGACACTCTCGCAGTCGAAGTCCTGCGCATCGAACTCAGACACAGAGACTCTCCTGCCAGCGTATAAATCCTCGCTCTCTTCGTCTGCATTCTCCTTCCCTAGGGGCGGCGTGGGCGTCCGAGGCTTCCTCTTAGCACTCATCTTAACTGGATGCTACAGTACCACGCCCGCGCCCATCACAACGCAAGAAACACGCAAGATGTTGTGGGTTGGGAGATGACTCGAAGACTCACTTCGTGATATCAATGACCAAACGTCCTCGCTGTGGGTGCTGCTGTGGGGACCATTCATGTTGACGTCGCAGCTGACATAGTGCTGTGGGCGCTGCTGTGTAAATACTACGACGTGCCGATGGCAATTCGTCAGCTGAGCGTCTCTTCCAATTTAGGTGTGCGTCATGCAGGCAAGAGACAAAGAGTTGTCAAGTGTTGTGTCACAAAGTATATACACAGTACACTCCCCTGGCTAGTCGCTACTCTCTCATACTAAATGTTTTTTTTTTCCTGAATGAATCAAGGCACTCGTTACGTTACACTAGATCAGTAAACAGTTGTTTGTATTTGTCGTACACTTAAGTCTTATTTCGTTTATTTAACAGACTCACACATAAAAACTACACTACAACAGTGACTGTTATTTCCGCTTCCTCCTGCTTATTGCTTGAATATATTCCCAAGTCTCACGAAGAAAATATGCATCACCTGCCCTGCAGACACGACAAACAACAACTACCTACTTGCTTCACGTTAGGCGGTTTGTTTACACGTTGCTAGGGTGGTCGCTAAGCATGACGTCACACAAGCTGCACGCTGGTTGGCTCACGCCAGCAGGTGTTTATCATACGCGCTGCGAAAATCGGCTGCCGACTCACAAACTCACTATGTTCCTCCTATTGATTGATAAGTAGTGAGTTATGATGCATAGAATTGAAGAATCTTTATATTTACAATTATTTACGGCTTGTAAGTAATCTTCGTGGCTTGATATTAGGAACAGTAGGTTACTAATCGGACGAAAGAAATATACTCGTGGGCCAGTGTTGGGGGTGAATGCCCACCAATCAGAATGAAGAGGAACTAACGAACGTGAATGCGATTGGTCGTTATGAAGTTCTACTCGGCACATAAAATATCACGTCCACTCACTTTGACCAATCCAAACTTAGAACGATGGTGCGTTAACGTCTTGACTGGATATCGATAAGCACTTCAAATGCATTGAACACTTCCAATATAGACCATCTTTCCTGTCCAACCACCAGGTAGCAGGAAGACACCATTATAATCGCTAAATCTTTTATATCGTGTTCAGCACCCAAAACTTACTCACACGACAATCCCTCGTCAACTTGCTTCAGCTTATACTGATAAACAATATACTCAAAATACAGATTGTAGTTATGCAAAAATGAAAACTTCTTACAAAGTTAAGACGAAATTCTACCTTACCTAACCAGGGCTTAACTTAACCTTCGGTAACAACCTAATCTAGCCTTAGGTAATATAACTAATCTTATCTACCATTAGGTAACAAAATACAACCTTCCCTAACCTTGTCTAACATAAACTAATCTACCTAATGTGATACAGATATACCGTAACCTAATAATATCGGAACCTAACCTAACCAGGTCTAACATAACCATAATCTACCATAAAAACCCAACCTATCCTAGCCTAACCAACGGTAACCTAACCTAACCTTGCCAATGATAAACGTAACGTAATATAACGTAACGTAACGTAATCTATCGCACCTAACCTACCCAATCCAGCCTAAGGCAGCATAACCTAACCTAAGCTAATCCCATAACATAATCTAGCCTTTCCTTAATCAAATAAATATAATTACGATGTAGCTATCCGTAATAAACACAAACTTTCCAAACTTCATGAACAATATACCAGTAACCAACGGACCTCTAGAGCAGATCACAACAAGGATATGAAAATTAGGAACCCAAGCTTATTTTAAGTGATGAATAAACACCCTACTACTAACCTAACCTAACACAACGTGATTTAATCTAAACCCTAACCCTAAACGTGTGGCTTCTTCAACCTTAAACTGCGACCTTTAGTGGAGCAGGTAGTTCCAGGTATGAAACACTCGACTCTGAGGTGTTACAGACTTTCAATCTCTCTGGGGATGTGAGGTGCCGTAGTGTAGGCACCAGTCTGGTGGCCCTCTTCTGGAGATTTTCAATCAACTGACAGTCTCTCCAGGTAGCTTATCTTGGAAACCAGACAAGGTGTTATGAGGGTCGCACCATTTAGGTGTGTGATTTACTTCACATTGGTCCAAGAACTTGTTCGATATCAATATGCACACCCGCACACATTTGTTTGGAAGAGGGGTGTATAGCTTTTGGTATATCATTTATGGAACAAACAAACAACAACGGGCCCAGTAAACTGCCCTGTGGTGTCCACCTTGTCACGGGCAGACATGACGATTTCGTGTTATTGATCACCACACACTGCTGCGGTCATGCAGAAAGTCTCCGATCCACGCTAGGACACTTTCCCGGATCCCGTACCCTTCCAGTTTAATTCTCAGCCATTCATGGGGTGCGCTGTCAAAGCCCTTGGCAAAATCTAGTTATATATTGTGGATATTTCTGCCTTGTTCTATAATTTGAGTCCAAACATCTAGTACCTTGAGTAATTGTGTTAAGCAGGATCTTCCCGTCACAAAACCAAGTTGGCATTCCTTTACAAAACACAACCTGCCTTCACCTTGTCTAACATAAACTAATCTACCTAATGTGATACAGATATACCGTAACCTAATGTACCCTATAATATCGGAACCTAACCTAATGTTTCGTAGCAGATGTTCCATCATGGCATCTCTTACGATGCTTTCAAGTATTTTGCATACTGTGCTGGTCAGGCTCACTGGTCTATAATTATTCGTGGAGTGATGATCGCCCTTTTTGAATATAGGACTCACATAAGCCATCTTCCAGTCATCGGGGACCTTTTGCTCCTCCAGGCTTTTGCAGAACAGGATCTTAAGGGGCTCCGCAAGTTCGTTACACAATTCTCTTAACACTCGGGTGTACCATATCTGAGCCAGGACTCTTGTGAATCTTGAACTTTGACAGTTCATTTCTTATAACCTCGTCCGAGAACACAATGTAGGTCAGCTCTGTGTCAAACCGTCTTTCCCCAAACACAGTTAGATTGTTCGCATCCTCTATTGTGAACACCGACGAAAAATATTTGTTCAACACCTCCGCCTTGTCCTGGTCAGTATCTGTTTAACTACCATCTTCAAGCCTCAGGTCCGATATACCTATTCGCGTTTTTAATTCTGACTTTGTGTAGCGGTAAAAAGCCTTTGGGTTTGACTTGACCTCACTAGCAATCAGCCTCTGGAACTCTTTTTCAGCCCTTCTACACTCTGATTTTATTTGGTTCCTGGATCTGGCATACATCCTCCTGTCCTGCTCATCATTTATCCTAACCCACGTCTCGAAATCCTGAGCTTTCTTCTTAACTGCGTAGCAGTTTCCTTGTATTCCTGGAGGCACTGGGTTTGGTCTTTGATATATATTTACCGATCGAATGGTTTACTTTACTGGGTGTGATATTCAGCGTAGCATCTGCGTTCTTTTTCCTCAGTAAGTCAAGCCAGTGTATACTCCTCATATCCTCCCTCATCCTGTCGCAATTTCCTCTGTAATATTGGAGCTTGGACCTGGTTTTGTTATGAACCAAGTAATAGTTAGATCTGAAGAATAACGTTACGTGGTGACTGATGCTAAGTGTTCCAGATTGGCCACCATACCCTCCTCCTTAGTTATGATGAGGTCCAGCGATTTGGGTGCTTGCTCCCTGAGATTATTTTCTTAATGGGTTACATGTATCATTTTAATGTTAATTTAATTTTAATGATGTTTCCTGTAATTGATAAGTTATTGAGTTTGGTGGGTCATGTATACTGTAAATGTATAATATTATATATTTTTCTTTGTTGTAGGTGATCATAGTTTTTGTTGAATTAAGCTTCATCTTTTGGAACTTGGCTTTTACTACAATTTATTCAACAAAAACTTCAAGCAAGTCTCCAAGCATAATTCTGAAGCACTATGGATAAGTTCCTGCGACCTGGGCGATTTGAGGCCAACTTCAATTCCAGCACAGCAAGGAAGGAGTGGAGGCACTGGAACAAGGCGTTCTTGCAGCCTTCCAGCAACACTCTCCTAACAAGCTGAATGTGCTTATTGACTACATTGCTTCTTCTGTGTACAAGTATATTTCTGACTGTGCGACATATGAAAGTGCTATAGAGACTTTGCGAAACATGTATGTAAAACCTAAAAATTAAGTCTATGCCAGATATCTACTAGCCACCCATTGACAACAGTCAGGAAAGACATTGGATGAATTTCTGCAGGCACTGAAGCACCTAAGTGGAGACTGTAATTATAAGGCAGTTAGTGCTGAGAAGTGTAGAGAGGAAGCAATTCGTGATGCTTCCATTAGCTGTTTGCTGTCGAATGCATTCACCAGATACTTCTAGAGAATATAACTCTTGATCTTTCAACAGCATTCGATCAAGCAAAAGCTCTTGATCAAGCGCAAAAAAGCTCAGAGTCTTACGCTACACCACAGACAACCTTCAATGCAGCAGCGACATGTTCGAGTGATGATACAGTATCCGCTACAAGTAATGACAGATTAAACGAAGACACCTGTCATATGTCAGCTGCTGTTCAAAATGAGCATAAATGTTTCTTCTGTGGATACAGCAGACATCCTCGCTAGAATTGCCCAGCACGCAAATCTACCTGCAACAAGTGTGGCAAGAAGGGTCATTTCGGGAAGGTCTGCAGGTCAGCAAAATCTTCAACATCTGCTGCTCTTCAATCTCCCACTCTAGCAGGAATGACTGCCGCATCTTCAGAAAGTCTCTCGCAAGCTACTGTCACGATCAAAGTAAACGGGAGACAAGTCAAAGCTCTTATGGATACAGGCAGTTCTGAGAGTTTTGAGTGTCAATCTCTTGTTAGTAAGCATCACCAATATGTGCACCCAGGCTCTACCACTGTGTCCATGGCTTCTACTTCACTGAGCAATAAAATATGTGGTTACTGTCTGGTATATGTAGAACTGGAGCGCCATAGATATTATAATGTAAGACTATCTGTATTGCCTGATCTATGTTGTGATGTCAATTTGGCCCAGGATTTTATGAAACAACACAAGAGTGTATGTGTGAAGAGTGATGGAGACAAACCTCCTTTAAATGTGTGTGGACTAACAACTTTTTCAGTTTCTCCTCCTCCACTTTTGGAAAGTCTCACTAAAGACTGTAAATCTAATGCAACTAAATCAAGAAATTACATTGCTCCATATAAGAAGTTCATCGAGTCAGAAGTAAAGGGACTTCTCGCAGAAGGCTTTATTGAGCCCAGCATTTCACCATGGCGATCTCAGTTGTAGTCACTACTAATGAGCGACACAAGAAACGTATGGTGGTGGACTACTCGCAGACCATAAACCGTTACACACTATTGGATGCCTACCCACTGCCTAAGATTGATGAGCTGGTGAACACAAGCCCAGTACAAATTCTTTAGCAATATTGACCTGAAGTCTGCATTCCACCAAATTCCTATACGAGATGAAGACAAGCCTACACATAGCTTGTTTTCAGTGGATAAAAGACCAGTTTATCGCCAATAACCCACTCTGATACT